CGGTCCACAACTGTTGAACGCCGTATCCCTTATCAAACACATCGCTATACTTGTCGGTAAAGCCCCAGACAGTGACGCCCACACACCTGTCCACAGACATACAGGTGCTGACAGCGTGTTCATAATCCTTGGTCTGTTGTGCCGTATCAGTACCTGAAGGGGGCATTTTTATTCGCACATTAAGCTCAGTTATGGCCACATCTAGGCCTAAATCGGCAAAACGTTTAATATTATCATGTAGAGTTGCGGGTACACCACCCACCCTAAAGTGGGCCTGCATACCCACCCCATGGATGGGCACCTTTTTAGCCAACCAGCCTTTAACAAGTGAGTACAAGGCATCTGACTTACGACACTTCCCTTCAATGCCGTAGTCATTGATGTATAGTTTGGCGTTTGGGTCGACGGCGTGTGCCGTATGGAAGGCCTGTTCAATGAACTCGACGCCTAGCGTACGGCTAAACAGTGAGTCCCTGAGCTTATTGCCGGAGCCGTCCTCATTGAGCACCTCATTGACCACATCCCAGGCGTATATTTTGCCCTTGAAATGACCTGCCACAGTTTTGATATGGTCCTGAACCACCTTGTCAAGTTCCGACTTTTTACCATCCAGTTTCATAGCGTAGTCTGGTATGCGTTTGTGCCACAGAAATGTGTGGCCCCTGAATGACATGTTGTGTTTGTGGGCAAACTCGACCAGTTTGTCGGCATCTGTCCAGTTGTAATTACCCTTGCTAGTTTCCAAAAGTGACCATTTAATCTCGTTTTCAGGTGAGCCTGAGTTAAACTCCTGGCCCGCAATTTCCCAATATTTTGTGTCGGAGTTGGCGTACTTGGATAGAGCGGTGCCAATGTACCGGTGCTTGGCCTGGTTACGCAAATGGCCCTGCGCATATCTGGTGATTTAATTAACAGTTTATATCATTCATTTAAGTATAATAGATAATACTAATAAATAAATAATTTTAAAAATTATTATGTTTATAAATTAGAATTGATTAAAAATTATGCAATCAGTAAATTATAACTTACGCAATTAATATAATATTTATTACAGTAAATTTTAACATGTCAACTGTTTATTTTTACTAATTTTAAAATGTTTAATTAGAATGTACAATTAAATTTATTTAAATGATTACGTTTTTACAAATTAAATCTTTTTAATTCACATGCAATAAATCTGTAAAAACGTTTAACAAGCAGATTTTGTAATCATGATATTATATTAATTAACTGTATTATTGTTATGATATGCTTTATTTAATCAGGTGCTTTATTTTAATATAATGTTAGAAAAATGTTTTGTCAATTGTTTAATTAGTTATAAAATTAAAATAATCAGTAAACAGTTTTGTAATTTTCAAACCTGTTTAATAAAATTTTTATTATATTTATTATGAATAGAAAATTGCAAAGGTTTAATTAATAAAGTCACATTAAGTTACATTTATATACATTAGGTGTTACAATCAAATAAATGTCATCAATTTAAAAATATTGGTTAATTTGAAAAAATTATTTATTTTTTGCTAAATTTATTAATTATTAGTTAAATAAACTAGAGTTTTGTAATTTATAAATTCTTTAATTTATAAAACTACTTCATTTTATTAATATTTATTAAATATAAAAGATTTAATATTTAATTATCATTACATGTAAACCATTTTGCATACTTTATTATTGTCAATAAGTTATCGATTATAACAATGTTTAACTTCTAGAATCTAGTAATTTATATTATAGTACTTTCAATGTCAAAAATATCACTACTTTTACCATCACCTAACTGTTAGGTTCTAACATAAAAGCACTCAATAATCAATAATAAAATACCACTATACATTATCATTGATAATTTATCAAATGTGTATAAAACATACGTATTAAATAAATTATTTTTATAGCCAATAATGAAGAAAGTCTATGATTTGAATATACTAAATAATAATTGTTTAATTTTTATAAAAATAAATACAATGATGATTTTAAAAAAATTAACTTTTTAAATTAAAATCTTTATTTAAAAACATTAATATCTAAATATTATAATATTTATTTGAACCTGATAATCAAACAATTAATAATGTAAAGCATGGCAACAAACTTACCAATTATTTCAATACTTTACTAATGGCCTGAACGGCGGGTTTGGGATTATATTTATCGGTCCACAACTGTTGAACGCCGTATCCCTTATCAAACACATCGCTATACTTGTCGGTAAAGCCCCAGACAGTGACGCCCACACACCTGTCCACAGACATACAGGTGCTGACAGCGTGTTCATAATCTTTTGTCTGTTGTGCCGTATCAGTAGCCGAAGGGGGCATTTTTATTCGCACATTAAGCTCAGTTATGGCCACATCTATGCCTAAATCAGCGAAGCGTTTAATATTATCATGTAGAGTTTCGGGCACACCACCCACCCTAAAGTGGGATTGCATACCGACCCCGTGGAGCGGCACCCCCTTAGCCAACCAGCCTTTAACAAGTGAGTACAGGGCGTCTGACTTACGACACTTGCCTTCAATGCCGTAGTCATTGATGTATAGTTTGGCGTTTGGGTCGACGGCGTGTGCCGTACGGAATGCCTGCTCAATGAACTCGATGCCTAGCGTACGACTAAACAGTGAATCCCGGAGCTTATTGCCAGAGCCGTCCTCATTGAGCACTTCATTGACCACATCCCAGGCGTATATTTTGCCCTTAAAATGACTTGCTACAGTTTTGATATGGTCCTGAACCACCTTGTTCAGTTCCGACTTTTTACCATCTAATTTCATAGCGTAGTCTGGTATGCGATCGTGCCATAAAAATGTATGGCCCCTGAATGACATGTTGTGTTTGTGGGCAAACTCGACCAATTTGTCAGCATCAGCCCAGTTGTAATTGCCCTTGCTGCTTTCCAATTGTGCCCATTTCATCTCGTTTTCTGGTGAGCCACAGTTAAACTCCTGGCCCGCAATTTCCCAGTATTTTGTGTCGGAGTTGGCCCACTTGGATAGGGCGGTGCCAATGTACCGGTGCTTGGCCTGGTCACGCAAATGGCCCTGAGCACATCTGGTTTAATTGACATATTATACATTTATCATTCATTAAAGTATAATTAGAGCTAATATTAATAAAAATTATTATGCTTATAAATTAAAATAGATTAAGTATATACAATTAAAACTTACGCAATTAACATAATATTTATTAAAATAAATTTTAACATGTTAATATTTAATTTTATTAATTGTTCATCTACACCAAATTTTAAAATGTATAATTATTTTGTACAATTCAATTCTTTTAAATGATCATGTTTTTATAAATTAAATCTGTTTAAGTGATAAGCAATATATTAAAAAAATGTTTAACAAGCAGATTTTGTATTAATAATAATTAATTTATTTCTTTATTTCAATATATATTTTAAAAACAAGTATGATGTTTTGCGTATTTTTATTTGATTTATTATAAGTTGGAAATTGTAGAAGTTTAATTAATAAAGTCACAATAAGGTAAATTTAAATAAATGTTACAATTAAATAAATGTTATTGATTTAAAAATATTTGGTAAATTGATTTTTTTGTTAAATTAATTAATAATTAGTTAAATAAACTAAAACTTTGTAATTAAGAAATTCTTTAATTTATAAAAACATTTTATTAATATTTATTAAATATAAAAGATATATATTGATTTATATTCAATTATCATTACATGTAAAACATTTGCCATTGTTTCCACATTTTCTTATTGTCGATAAAATATTAATTATAACAAGTTTTTTACTTTGAGATAGTAAAAATAATTTAGACTACTGTACACTACTTTCAATGTCAAAATTATTACTACTTTTACCATCACCTAAAATAAAAGCACTCAATAATCAATAAAATACATACCATTATACATTATCATTAATAATTTATCAATTTATTATTAACAACAAGCAAAATACCTCACGATAATGTAATAAATATTAAATATTATAGTAAACATCATTTATATTTAATAAACTTATTATTTATTAAACAAAAAAACAAAATCAAAACAATTATATAAATAATTTATTTGAGCACTTTGTCAACAGCAGCCACCGCTGGCTTAGGCTTATAGTCTTTGGTCCATAACTCCTGTTCGCCATAACCCTGGTCAAATATATTTGAATACTTGTCGGTAAAGCCCCAGACAGTGACTCCCACACAGCGCTCTACATTCATACAGGCCTGGAAAGCATGTGCGTAATCCTGGGTCTGTTTATTAATCTTATCTTGCGAGCCAGGTAATTTATATCTAATATTGAGCTCGGTGATTGCAACATCCAAACCCAGATCAGAGAACCGTTTAATATTCTCTTGAAGAGAGGCGGGCACTGAGCCCTCCCGGAAGTGGGCCTGCATACCGACCCCGTGGACGGGCACACCCTTAGCCTTCCATTCCTTAACCAATTTATACAAATAATCAGACTTTGAATTCTTGGACTCAATGCCAAAGTCATTGATGTATAGTTTAGCGTTAGGGTCGGCCGCGTGGGCCGTACGGAACGCCTCCTCAATGAAACCGGCGCCGAGCGTACGGCTAAACAGACTGTCCCTGATTTTAGTACCATCAATGACCTCGTTGACCACATCCCAGGCGTATATTTTGCCCTTGAAATGATTGGCCACCGTGGTGATGTGATCCTTGACCACCTTGGCCAGTTCGGCCTTTTTACCCTCCAGCTTCTGGGCGTACTCCGGGATGCGGTTGTGCCACAGGAATGTGTGGCCCCGGAATTTCATACCATGTTCCTGGGCGTAGGCGACTAGTTTGTCGGCGTTGTCCCACGCGTAATTGCCCTTGCTCGGTTCCAGGAAACCCCATTTCATCTCGTTCTCGGGTGAGGCGCTGTTAAACTCCTGGCCCGCCATTGTCTTGTAGGCGCCGTCGGTCAGCGCGTGCGCCGCCATCGCTGTGCCGATGTATTTTTGTTTGGCCTGATCACGCAGGTGGCCCTCGATGCTCCTAGGTACATTAATTAAATAATTGTTAAAATAATGTAAAATAATATAAAATAAGTTGTTTTAATTTATATTGATAATTTGTTCACTTTGTAGACTACTTACACAATGAGCACGGCTGCCAACACTATCGCCTTAAACAACATTGTATTCAACTATAATAAGTTTATTGAACAATGTCAATTAAATACTCCCTACAAAATTCATGAATGTCACTTTCTTATATACTATGCTTTTGTATAGAATTATTGATAGAAATGTGTTTTGATTGAGACGGTGAGAGCTAATTCATATAATCATATAATCTTACCTTGATACTACAGTAATATCCTTGTTCATGTAAACTTATACGTGTGTATGTATTGCTTAATCAATGTATTGCCTATTGCATGCTCGAATATTTGTTCGAGATGTTCCGGGTCGATTTGATAAATTTTATTTTGATTATGGTGTACCTTATTTATTAATTTAATTTGTTTTAAGATATAATGTAAAGCATGTTTAATTGGTATACATTGTATAATTTCATCAAAAATAAGCAAAACATTAATAAGATTGAAAATTATTTATAAATTACAATAAAGTATTTTAAACACTCATAGTGCATTTATACCTGATTTTAACATATTATAAATTATTATTATTATTATACTTATGTTGAGATATAGATGTTTACAAGTATATAACAAAGTCTAAGGTTGGTAACGATATAATACAAAAATTATGATTGTAAAAATGTAATACTGGATCAATTAATTGTTGCATTGTTAATTTGCTAAGTTGTTTTAAAGTGTTTTTAAAATGTGGGAATAAATTTAGTAATGATAATTATTGTTATACAGTATAACTTATAATTGGAATTTATGAAACAATATTTTGTAGATTTTGTGTATTTATTTCAGTATTTTCAGATATTTATAAATAAATTAAACTACATCGATGTTATTTATAAAATGGGTAAAATTTTTGCTGTAAAATTGTGCATTAACTTTACATCCTTGTGTTAATTGTATTGTGAGTTAACTAAAAGCTAGATATTCAATACATAACACACATCTATTGTAATTAACTTTAAGTTTAATTTAATTAAAAATAAGTGCAAAATAAAAACTGAAAATATTTGACTTTTATATTATTTTTTGATCCAAATTTTACACTCAAAATATGAAACACAATATAATATTTAATATAAATTTTAATATATTATTTAAAAATTTTTATTAATAGAAATGTTTTTCAAGAATTCTTTAAAAATTCAAATATTTTCAGTTTTTATTTTGCACTTATTTTTAATTAAATTAAACTTAAAGTTAAT